TACATATGGTCCTTCACCGGGGTCCTGGTGCCGTTCTTCATCGTCTCCACCTTCGGGTTCAGGTCGACCCGGTCCGTGAAGTTCACCTCCTTCGCAACCTTTACCGGCATGCACATTCCCAGCATCGCCGCGCCGAAAAGCCACCTCGATAGCGCCGAGGGCCCCCGAGCAGCGGGTCGAGCTCGAGGGTCGAAAGGCGGTGGGCGAACCCCTGCGCTGCCAACCGCTGGGCCTCTCGGACCCATGCGAGCCCGCACGAACAGCACCTCGTCGTACGCGTAGGCCGCGTCCTTCGGCGCAAGCATCGTCATCAGCTCCGGGTTGCCGTCCGTCGGTACCTCGTGATGGCGCGCGAAGTCCACCAGCTCGGCCTTGTTCTTGAGTCCTAGAGCAGGAAGCACCCGCATGCGCCTCCTGGCCCCATTGGATAGCGCCGAGCTCGGTGTCCCGGGGGCCGGGCTGCCCGCTGGCCCCGCGGAGCCTGAGGCTCCAGGCGACACGCCCGCGCTCACGAGCGCCTCGCCTTCCTCCTGAGGGGTCCTCCTCCTCTGCTTCGCGCCATACTCCATCTGTCGGTCAATCAGCACCTTGACGCTCAAATGCTCCGCCCGCGGAATCTCCAGCACTGTCGCCACGTCCTCCAGCACGTCCCGGGGGACACGTAGGAGCTGGTCTCGATCACAGAGTAGCGGCCGGCCTTCGGATGCGGTCGGCCTTGGCCTCTCTGGTCCCGGCACCCAGTAGAGCCGGGTGACCGTGTTCCTCGGCGGGTCGAGCTGCTCGAACATCTCGTTAGATAGCCCCTGGATCCACCGCAGGTCCTCGATGATGTCGCCCGTGTCCATGCAGAGCGTCTCTCGGGCCCGCGCCAACTTCCAGTTCGGCCCGTCGCGGTTCGAGGGCTTGAGCGCCCTCGCATTGTAGCCCTGACGCTCCCACATCTCGAGGCCAGAGACGTCGACCTCGCCGTCGGGCATGTTCCAGTCGTCCTCATCCTCGGGCACAGGCGCCACGTCCTCGACTTCTGTGGCCCGCCGGTCTGCCGCACGGGCAGCCAACTCAGACTTCGCCGTCATCAGCGCTTCTCGCACCTTGGACTGTACGCGGAAGACCGCCTCCGCTGTCGGGATCCCCGAAGGGGGCTTCCAGCTCCCACGCGGGAAGATCGGCATCGAGTAGTGCCCACCGTCGGTCTCGCTCAGCCGCTTCGGCGTGATGCCGAGCCGGTCCGACTTGAACGAATCCTCCGCGAAGTTGATGTCTGCGCCCATGCCTCGTAGAGCGTCCTTCCCGATGAGCAACTGCAGCACCGAGTCCTCGATGACCGAGAAGGTCAGGTATGCGTCCACGCCGAAGACCGACGCCGGCACCGTCCAGCGCTCCTTGGAGATCTGCTTCTGACCGTTCCCGAAGCGGAAGATCGCGAGCTGCGGCTCCTTCTTGATATAGTTCTCGATGCCCAGCTCCTTGCGCCGATCCTCGAGTCTATTGGCGTACGAGTCGCCCGACGCCGTGCCGTTGCAGGCTGAGTCGAGCGCGCCGTCGTCTCCTTGGCCCCCGATGGACGCTGACGAGAGCAACACCTCCTGAATGGCTCGCTCGTCCCTTGCCCCATCCGAGGGCATCGGGCCGGCAGAAGAATGGGGGCGCAGCCCAGCACCAAGACCTGGGCCATCCGCCGACCCTGCGCTATGGTCGACGGAAGAAGAGGGGGCACCACTCCCCATCCCAGGAACTGGCCCATCTGCCGGCCCTCCGCCAACGGAAGAAGAGGGGGCACCACTCCCCATGCCAAGGACTTGCGTCGCCATCAGGACTTCGCACGAACGAGTCGTGCTCGCCAAGACGTCATCCTCTGCTGCCTGCTGGCCAGCGCCCTCGTAAATCTCCGTGTAGTCCCGCCCGCACATCGAGCACCGGACATCGCGGTCGTCTCCTTCGTAGACGCAGTCCGGGCAGAAGGGCGGGTAGTCCAGGTGGCTGCGCTTGTCGTCCGTCTCCTTCATCGCCGTCACCCCGAACGCAGGCGTCTGACCCTGCTCGTGCTCGCATTTGCTGGTCATCAGCACCTCGAACACGTCTTTCTGAATCTCTATCATCTGTGCGTCCAGCCGAATCTCGGGCGTCTGCAGCAGGTCCACCACCATCGCGTCCTTCGGCTTGAACCGCTGCTGCAGCTTCTTCTTGGCCTGCTCAGCCTTCCACTCTTTGAGCTTCGGGCAGCACGCGTCTCCGGCCCAGTGGCCCTTCTCGCCGCAGGTGTGGCAGTCCGAGTTCTTCTTCTCGGGACTGCTCTTGCCGAAGCTCGTCATGAACTTCTTGCCGCTGCCCGAGCTTGAGCCTGAGCCTCTGCCGCCGCCCTTGCCGCCAAACTTGCGGTCCTTCCGAAGCTCCTTCACGCGCTTCTTGCTCTCACGCACCGTGATGAGGCCCTCCATCGTCGATTCCACGCCGCCCTCTAAGTTCCCGAGCTCCTGGGCCAACTCAGCACCGTCGAGAGCGCCTCCAGCTCCGCGGCGAGGATGCCCTCGATGTCCTGTTCCTGCTCGGTCGTCAGCACCTCGTCAACCGTCTCGTCGTCGGCGTCACCGTCGAAGCTGCCGAGCTCCGCGTTCAGCGCCTCGAGCTCGCCCTCGTCTAGCTGGCTGAGCCCGTCGAGGTCCTCCGTCACGTGTGCCTCCTTGAACTTGCGAGTCACCTTCTTCTTCAAGAGCTGCGTCCCCAGACGGTTGAAGGTGATCGTCCTTCTGTTGCGGTCGAACGTGCCAGGACGCAGCTCCGTCATGCGCATGTTGGGGAACACCCGCATCATGGCTGGGACCACCTCGCGAATCTCCATGCTGCCGCCGGTCGAGGTCATCAGCATACTTTTCTGCGTCTCGTTCAGGCCGGTCTTCTCAGTCAGCCACCAGCCCGCCGTTCTCGCTGGCAAGGCCACGTCTTCTTCGTCCAACTGGCTGCGAGCCTCGCCGAACCTGATCATCCACGAGTTCAGATCCTCGCCGGCCCTGCGATGCAGCTGCTTGTAGAAGTAATTCATGACCTGGCCGCGCCTCGTCGACTCATCCACGCCCATCGTCCCGAGCACCTCCATCAAGCGGTTGATGCCCGCCATGGTGTCGGGCTCCTGCCAGTGGCCGCGCTCCTCGCGGTCCCCGTCCTCGGCCGCCGCGGCAGCCGCTTCCTCATCCAACTCCTCGCCATCGGGATGGACTCGCCGAGCGTCTTCGCCGGGCCTGTCAGGCACCGAACCATTCGTGCCGCCCAGCTCCAGCTCACGTCCAGATTGACGCCCTCAATCCACAATGCCACGTCTTTCTTGTACCGCCGCCACCGCCCAAGGCTGCCGTCCCACGTCGGAATGCCCTCGAGGTCGCGGCTCGTCCATGCCGGTGATTGCACCCAGTTCATTGATCTTCTCTCCTGCCAGGTGCCTCCACCGCCTCCGCTCGGCCGCGGGGGGAGGGCGTCCGGGCTGAGCGTGCCGCCGCCCATCGCCGGGAATCGCCCTGGAGTCGATGAAGGCCTCATCGTTCCTCGTCGTCGTACCGTACTCGATCTCGTACTCGTGGAAGTCGGACTTCACGTTGTCGCCGCCCTCGTTCAGCACAGAACTCTCCTGGCAGCCGCTGCTCTCCGTGTCTATGGCGCGCCTCAGCGCTCCGCTACCACTGCGGAACCGAGGGATACAAGACTCCTGCCTCTCCCAGTTCCGCAGCGGGGTCTGGCGGCGGGGCGCGGCAGCGCCCGAGGGGCAGATAGTCTTTCTCACACTCGCGCTCACGCGTCTGTAGCACGATTTCGCCTCAAGCCGGCTCGAGCCGAGCCGGTTGCAAACAAGAAAGAGAGGAGAGGGGGACAGGAGGGAACAGGAGAGGGTCATAAGGGGCTTAAAGGCGGGAGCAGGGGACAGATCCAATCCGAAAGGCACGTTTTTCCTCACAACATGGGAGAACACAGACATCCGCGATGGAGGACGATAACGTCTGGCATGGAAGTCGAAGCCTGAATCTTCGGAGGTCTGGGAGCCTCTGGGTGGGACATGCGATGCTGGTCGCTGGGCGAACCCAACCGCGCAAGTCAGACACACACGGCTCGGCTTGGCGAAGTCGTTCAAGAAAGAGCTGTCCGATGATGCGGCTGGAGACTCGAGCAGCCAGCGTCGTCAACAACTCCTGGAGTGCTTATCGTCGTCGCCCCCCCCCCCCTCGACCTCCTTCGCACTCTTCCTCCTTCCACCTCGTCCTGCTCGCAGCTGCGTTTCCCCTTCGACCAGCCTTGAATCTGAGGCGAGGGGGGCGGTCAAGGGTCCCCTTGGTTTCCCTTCTGCGGTCCATCCGCTCCCTTCCCAGACATCCGGCGTCTCGATTTTTACGAGACACGGCTCCCCGACCTCTCGACCACTTCCCCGGGACTGGTTTTTCATCCCGAATCGTTTCTTGACAGTCCCGAGGCCTGGTAAGGGCCCCCAGGGGCCGAAAACGATGAAAACCTCCGTCCCGATCTTTTCGAGACGCCCGATGTCTGGGCTCCTTGCCCCAAGTCGGGCCCGGCACCCGAAGCTGCAGGACACACGGGGGGCGCCGCGGGTGGGCATGGGTCCGCGCGGGGCTCCGAGCTCTGGAGGGCGGCAGGCCTTTGCCAGGAAGGGTGCGCCACGAGAAGCAGAAAATGGAGCCACCGAGCTGGCGCGCCGAGTTACAGTCAAACCGCACAGCAAGGATGCGCGGCAAGGACGCAAGGGCCTTGGACGCCCATGCCGAGGCTCTTCGAGCGGGGCTGGCCATCGGAAGTGGTTGAGGATGGACCGAAGATGACCGAAGCAGGCAAGGATGCCAGGGTACCCTTGGTAAGTCGATCATCCTTACTTTCAGTGTTGACTGTGCGCACCTGCATCAGGAAGCTGTTACACTCCTCAGCCCGTGCCTGTACAAGCGTTCCCTGGAGGCTGAAAATCGAAAACGGCGGGGCACAGCTCTGCTGGCGCGGCCAACGTGGAGCTAGGACCCAATGACTGTGAACGCCGTCTCGCCGAGACATCGCTGGTCGAGGTGTTCCTTGAAGATGGTGCTGTTCAACGACCCCTTCTTTGCATCCACATAGGTGACACCGCTGCCAATTGGTGGTCCGGAAGAGCGCTGTGCAACGTCGATGGTCACGGTGATATGGCGACGCTTGGCCGTGCCAACGAATGCATCAACATCCTTCGCATCACCCTGGATGTGGAGAAGTGCAGGCTTACCGTAGTAAACGACAGCATCAAGGCCGAGCTCCTTCAACAAGCGGAGCAGCGGCTTCTCTTTCTCGTCAACTCCTCTGTGCAGGTGGTGGAGGCGGACAAATGCTTCAGGGCGGCTGGATGCGTCTGCTGTGGCCTCTCCAGCTGCTTTCTCCAGTGCGTGCACGCACGGGACATGGCCCACCGAGGCGCGAGCCTCGACGAGGTCCGCATCAAGGGAGTCCGCCGAACCCCGCTCGCCGAGGGCGACAAGACTTCCCCTCGCTATCGGGGGCGGCCACGAGGGGGGCGTCCAAGAGGTCCTCCTCCTCCTCCTCCTCCTCCTCCTCCTCCTCCTCCTCCTCCTCGGTGTGTGCAAATCATGGCCAGCGGCATGTGCGCGGCCCAGGTGGGGGGGCCAGGGCCGTAATGAAATAAGAAGAGGCGCTATGAAATCTGGGGAGATGTCATGGCCCAGGCCATGGTTATCCGCCCCCCCCTAGTCATCACCCCCCTCTTGGCCGCTCCCGGCACTACAAATTCCACCCCCTGGGCCGCGAAGCTGTTCATGGCCCCAGGCCTCACCGATCCATCCCCGAATTGCCCCCCAGGCTCTCAAGACAGACGCACTGGCCTCGGATGGCCACATCCCAAGATTACCTTCAGGTCGGGCGTGTCCCCCTACAGGGGGATTTTGGACGAAACAAAACAAATAGTCAAAAAATACACCCAGACTATTTTTTGACTGTTTTTGAACATTCCTCCTGTAGATGGACAGGCCCGACTTCAGATTACCTCGCATGGGCCCTGATGGCATGCACGCTGGCAACGCTGGCCCTCGTCTGGCATCGAAGGCCCCAAAAGAAGCTCAAAGATGGCGCCTACGGACTGCCCCCACCAACAAAAAGTGCGTCCGAACCCATCAGCTGTCTGCCTCAGGGTAACTGGCCGAAGAAGGCTCCTGCAATGCGGCCGTCCTCGCCCGCGACCCGCCCGCGATCCACTGGCGACTGGCCCGCACACGGCCCTCTACCGGCCATGGACCCGCCCACGACCCAGCCGCAACCCACCCGCGACCCATCCGCGACCCAGCCGCGACCAACTCGCCATTGTTTTGACAAAACGTCGGCGCCTGCGGCGAGCTTCTTCAAATTTGGTTTCGAGCCGCGCAGACTGCCGACGACCCTCCTGCCCCCTCACTATTATCCGCAACTCTGGGGGCTATGTATGTGCACTGGCTGCTCCTACTTTTGCGTTCAAGATGGCCCGACAATGTGCTTTCAAGGCCTCCTGGAGGCCCTGAGACGGCCCATGAAGCCACCAAGATAGCCCCAGCATGACCCACAGCTGGTCTCCAGGACGGCCCCAAGGCGGCCCAAATCTGGCTCAAATCAAAACCACTTCAGGACTACCTCTCGATTGCCTAGGACGGCTCCAAGAATCTCCCAGAGGCCCTGCAAAGTTCCCGAGGGACGGCCAGGACGGCTGCCACAGGCCAAATATAAAACGAGAGAGCATCAAAAGGCTGCACGGAAACATCAACCCAAACGGCGGCAAAAACTTAGAGACGGTAGCGCGGTAGCGCTGCAGACGGTGAGCATTGGCTCTCACTTTGCTTCTCTCTCTCTCTCTCTGTCTCTCTCTCTCTCTCTTTCTTTCTCTCTCTCTCTCTCTCCTCCCCGTCACCCTCCACACGGCACCCAGACCCATGCAAAGTAGGCCAGACAGGGGTCAGTGCAGCTAGTACTTCAATCCGGCGGCTTCCATCAACTTCTCGTTTTTTCAGGCGGTCGTCGAACTGGCGCAAGCCACTTGCATAAGCTGAAGGCACCGCCTGCGAAGCTGCGCTGGGCGCCCGTGCCTCAATCTCTGTAACAAGTGCCTGCAATTCAGGATAGCACTTCCACGGCACATCAGCGCGGCACTCCGGGCATAATATTTCCAGGCCGTCCGCCCCAGTGCCGATCGCCCGACCCCTCTCGGCAGAGATCTCGCTCCTGCAATACTCGATCACACACTGCCTGTGGAACAGATGGTAGCACGGCATCCGCAGCACCTGCTGGGCGTCGTCGTCAGCGAGGTCGCCCAAGCAGACGTCGGCGGCACGCAAGAAGGACCCTACGCTTAGGTTGGGCGTGTCCTCCTACAGGGGGATTTTAAACGACAAATAAAACAATAGTCAAAACAATTCAGAAAAATACCAAAAATAATCAAACCATCGTCCCGAGAATATTTTGTGGACTATTTTTGATTATTCCTCCTGTAGAGAGGGACAGGCCCGACTTGACCCATCTTGACCCTACGCAAGAGTGACCTCCGGTGCGCGCCCTGCCGGTCGCTGCATGCGGCCCGACAGAGGCGGCCTGCGTGCCAGGGCTCGGCCCACCGCGCCCCCCGAGCGCCGCGCACCAGGGGTCACCTCCTCCTCCTCCTCCTCCTCCTCCTCGTCCTCCTCCTCTCTCTCTCTCTCTCGGCCTGTAGGCAATTGGTTCAAGCTGCCTCTCCTGAAGAACAAGGGGTGCAGACTAAAAAGTCAGTGCAAGGGACGGGGGGGGGCGGAGGCGCCGCTGGTGGACCCCCGAGCAACCCCCCTGTTCTCGTCAACGCCATCCTCGCCTCCGTAAGGATCCTCTCCCCTGAGGCTCCAGGCAAGAACAGCTTGCCAACAACAGGCAGCGGCAGAGAGATCGAGAGCAGACGCGCGGCTCTCCCCACTCGCATCGTCAGCTGTGTGGTCCCCCTGTCAGTCAAGGGAATCTACGTTCATACATGACGCCAGCACCATCTGGGAGACGAGAACCCCCATCGGCCTCTGGGTCATTCTGGTGAGGCTGGCGACCCCATCACTGCCTCGGATAGCACGGATGTCATCGCGGTTCCATAGGGAGGGCTGGGTGGAAGGGAGAGCGCGATCGGTAAGGAGGAAAGGCACTCGAGCATGGACGGCGGCATGAAGCAAGAGACCAACTATCCTCCACAATCGATTTCCCTCCTGCACCAGCTGGCTCTCTCTCTCTCTCTCTCTCCGACTGAGGGCACCTATGCCTTCAGGAGCCGACAACGCCCGAAGGGGTTTCCAAAGGCCAGGCCCCCCTTCGCTGGAGTAACGCCTCGGGTCCCACGACGACTCAGGAGGAGGAGCGAAGATAGAATGCACCGTAAGCGAAGTGATGTGGTGAACCCGACCCATGGCACGGTGATGCTCAAAACTTTTAATCCGCGCAACATCACGCGCAGCATGCGAAGGCACACAATACTGCAAGGCACATCGAACGGGGGATTCAAACCCGTCGTGGCCATCCCAGACAATGATGCAGCACCTCTGGAGGGGGAGGGGAAAGCTACCAAACGCCAGGGGGCTTTACGTTAGACTCCTGGCGCGGCAGGGGCCCGCGGACAGGAAGCGGCGGATCAACGAAAGCCTCTGGGGTCCGCGATTCCCCACGGGGGCCAAAAGTCAGCTTGTGAGCAGGTCTGTCCGCAAAATTGCCATGCCGGCCCCGACTGCGGCATGATTTCTGGTCCTGTCTCGTCTGCTCACGAACACTGGGGTCAACCTGACTTATCGCAATACCACTGGCATGCCAACCATGGAAACACTGCGGAACCCTACGAAGGTGTTTGGTCAATCTCACGCGCGTGTTAAATTGCGTGAGGCATATCTGGCAAAGACTTCCGTCAACGCATTGCTCAGGGTCATGCATGGAAGGGTGCGAAATCGTACAATGGCCTCGCAAGGCAGCAGCAGCAGCACATGTGAATCCGCATTCATAACAGGCAAAATGAAACTGCCCCTGATGGCCCGCATTCAGACTGTTGAAGTAGGGGAGAGGAAGGGTTCCGCTCGACTCGAGGCTCCTAATCATGTTATGCTGCACTCGGTGTTAATGTTGTTCAGAAAACACGCACTTCGCGCGGATAGCGACCTTTTTTAAACAGGGTCAATAAAGTCTTAAGTCAGCATGCAGCATGTGAAATCCAATCGCCGAACGATCCCGCGTCTGGAACTTCCTTCTTCATGCGAGCAAAGGATGTCACCCGTCTGAGGTCCGCAGTGAGAGCTCGGGGCCACATGAGCGGGCGAGCAATGCCAAGGTCGAGGCTTCGACGAAGAGTCATGGGCGCATGCCTCAAAATCCGAAGAAGAAATCGCAGGCGGGCAACGCTGAGGACGCAATCAAAAGAGAGGCGATCAGCCGCAGACAACATCGTCTTGAGCGTTCGGTTTCCCGCCTTTGTGCATCGGCAGCGCCAGCGCCGCTCTGTAGACGGCCACCTGAGCAGTACGCGTGCGTTTGATTTGGGAAGGGGGTGAGCGGGTCCCAAACACAGACATTGCACAGGAGCCTCGAGGCATCACAGCTCTCAGCATAGCGCACTTTGCTAGCGTTGGGCAAAGCCTTCCGAGGGGCCAGGGAACACGTCATGGGCTTAAGCTCCGCACACATCTGGCTTCCCCTATACGCAATTGCGGGGTTTTGGGACGCCGTGTCACTAAGGAAAGAGCCCAGCAATTTAACATGACGAACGACCGTGACGCGGACGCCATGAGTCTCTGACACCGCTTGATCGCTGCCATCGGCAAGCGGAAAGGTGCGAAGCATCTGTTTCTTGGCGCTCTTCCCAACAAGGCGATGCATGATAGCAGTCTTGGTGGCATTCAACTGCTAACCCTGGGAAGTAACATGATGATAAACAGCATTTAACATCTTAGAGGCAGCGTGGGGAACCTGGAAAGCGGCACCGCAGTCGCCAATGGACGTGAGGTCATCAACGTGCGCGGAAGAAGCAACTGGCCGCCCCTCGTCCACCTGGATGCCCGCAAAGGGCCCTCCAGAGGGAGGAACCGAGGACATGAGGCCGGCCGGCCACATGTCGTCCTGAATACCACCAGCAATAGGCGCAAAGCAATATTAAAAAAACATCACAAGCAAAAACAGCACCGGGTTTGGTGCCGAAGCTGGGATACACGCACGAGTCGGCCCCTCGATATTGCCACCAAGATCCTGCCTGAGCTCCTCGCAACAACTCCATGAGGTGACGACCCCTCATGGCACCCCCCAGGGTCGGGCGCTCGGCGAGACGGAGCACCATCAAACGGAACGCGGGGGGAATGAGCAGCTCATCAACCGCCCGGGAAAACTGCTCCTGGTCGGAGGGAAGGCTCAGAACAACCTGCCTGACAATGCTATAGAACGTAGCAGCAAGATCGAGGAAAACCACGACGGCGGATCGCCCGCGACTGGCATGCAGGTGCAGTTGCATGCGCACGGCAAGGCAGGCAAAGTCGGTCCCCACCCCAGGCCTGCCCCCACTCTGCTCGCCACTATGAAGGCCGAAAAAGGAAATCCCCAGCGCGGCTTCGAACAAATTTATGGTGCACCTTAAGGATAGCGTTGGAAAGGAGGATACTGCGCATAGGAGCAGCAAGAGCGATGTCCCCCTTCCCCTTGCAGAAAGAAACAACATGACCAAGACGGAGCACATGGGGTTCCTCTCCGAGCACATACCTCTTCAGCAAGAGGGGGCGCAACAATCGGGCCGCCTCTCTCGGGGCAGCCTTCGACGCATCATTGCTGATCTGATCAGGCCCTGGGGCCCTCCTGCTGGGGGCATTGGAGATCAGGCGCTCCAGCTCCTGGATAGTCGCAAGGTTGTCTAAGTGTCTCATGCCCTCCCACCTGTTGCTGGAAGAGGGGGGCTTCTCATACCGATCTTGGGCCTGTTCGAGCGCGACGTCCCTGCCCCCTTCCATCTTCGCGAAATGCTTCTGCATGTCAAGGGCGCCCCCCCAAGGGGGTCTCAGTAACTTTCCCGTCAGGGGCCTTCCTAGAAGGGGTCACCATGGGGGTCTTGCGACGCTTGCCTCCGAAGCTCAAGAGCACGCGAATATGATTCCACTCTTTGCGTGGAGCATGGCCGTCGATGGCATGTCGGGCTTCGTTCTCGTGGGGCATGAAAAAGGCAAAGTAATCGCAATCCAGGGCGCCCTGGAGATGGGGGGCGGTGGGGTCAATGAAAGAAACAAGGGCAAGACGAAACTCATCAATGTCAATGTTGCGGAGGGAAAAACATAGCATTGCCCCTGCAAGCTCGGCCGTGCAGACTGCAGAGGATGATGCTGCAGAAGATGCGGTTGCGACTGTGCCGCAAGCTGAATCTCGTGATATAGGCCACCCTGGCTCAAACCCACCACGAGGTAAAATGGCCGCCCTATGACCTTGCGCTGGCCTTCGGCTTCTCGGGAGATGTCCCCACCGAGGTCCGAAGGTATAAAAGTACCACCTGCGATCGCGAGCTGCCGGCTGCAGCGAAGCGCTTTCCTGATCGCACGGCGGGCACGCGCGAGGACGAAGGCGGGGGCGGCGGGCGCGGGGGAGGGGGGGGGGCAAGGTTTCCTAGGTCGAACGGAGTTTTTGCCGAAACGGGGCTCGCCACTTGGGCATGATGGTCGTTCAAAGTTTGGCCCCAGGGCTGAAGTTCGGCCTTAGTGAGGGCCGTCGCAAGAGCAGAGCGCGCAACAAGGTCCGAAAACTTGTTAGTGTCAACTCTTGGGTCCTGAGCCCTCTCCTTCTTAAAAGTCCGTCTCCAGCCAAAAGTAACAATGAGCGGACAATGGTCATCCGCTTCTCGCGCGCTCTCCGAATTGTGCAAACGTAGATATCACAAAGGGTTTGCAGACAGCGCTGCTGGGTGCTGATGTAACCGATATGATGATGCGTGCTTTTCTGGGGCGTGAAAGTGCGCCCATCCCCTTTGCAGGAAAACGCGCGGCGGCAGCAAGCTGATGGGCGAGGGGGAGGTTGTGTAGAGCCTTGCCAGTCGCATCTTCCTCCGACCTTGGCCCGGCAGTCGAGACCGCAGGGCTGGGAATCGCCCCACTCCTCTCATTCCCATCCACAAAGCCAAGATCCGCTGGCCACCGTTGTAGCAAGGCGTCTAACTCCCCTTGGTACTGACCCCTCACCATGGCGTCAGCACCCACGTGGGGGGCGTGACAAACATACACGGTAGGAGCCAAAGCTGGGGCAGACAACTCAGCAACCAAGATGCGCGGGGAGAGATGAAGCAACTGGACGCGATGCCGGGCAAGGCAGAGGGGGGTGCTACCACGATGGGCATATGGAAGAACAATGTGGACCCATATTTCCACCCCCAGGTTGACCTGATCGTCTCCTGCCGCAAACACAACGTAGTCTCCTTGGCGTCTGGTCCCTTGCCCGTTTCGGCTCTCCTGAATGCCAGCAAGGTGAAGGCGCTCTCCTGCGAGCTGGGTGCAACAAAGCTGCCCATCGACACCCTAGGGTAGGAATATCATTGCATCCTGCCTTCACTCTCTGCAAGGTCCAACCACTCCCAGGCCCGACTAGGGCCGCATCTCACGGCCTCTACCCATTGGGGAGGTAAGTTGGGATGGGGGGGGGGGCGCGAGCGTTCACGGGCCGTGGCTTTAGCCAACTTCTCCGCAAGCATATTCCAATGGAATCCAGCGCGAGACTTCTCGTGGGCAATAGCGCCCCATCGCCGCGTGCCCACGAGCTGCCAAGTGGCCCCAGTCAGGCGAGCTAATGTAGCGTCACTCTTCGGAATCTGGGCCCCCTCCGCAGCGTTGATCGCGCAGAGAGAGAGAGAGAGAGAGAGAGAGAGAGAGAGAGAGAGAGAGAGAGAGAGAGAGAGAGAGAGAGAGAGAGAGAGAGAGAGAGAGCCACTAACAATGGCAAATTCCACGTCATCAAAAGGAGCAGTGAGGATCCACAAGCTGGCCCATATGATGGCTAAGAGTTCCAGAGTCGTGCTAGTGGCCTCCGACGGGGGCAATCCCACGGCGTAAGTATCTTCCAGAGTTCCACGCCGCGCGCCCCACGCAGAGACCCCCCCCCCCCCCCCCCCCCCCCCAGGTTCTCAGCAACCACCGCAGAGGCCCAGGCAGCTCCCCCCCCCCCCCTCGTAATATGTGACCCGTTAGTGTATATAATGAACTTGGTGGGAACAAGGAACCTCGGCGGGGCCGAGGTCAGAGCAATTCTTGAGACCTCCTCCAAACAGCCCGAGTCTCGAAGTTCTTGCTCAGGAACGATCTCGAGAAAGGGGGCAGGCACAGTGGAGAGCATATAGAGGACGGGCGGAATGGCAACGAACTCACAGAAGCTATCCGATGGTATTCCAGCGCCAGTGGCCTGGTCATGGTGCTCTAAAGCGTGACCCCTTTCTCTCGCGCCCCTCCCCATCAGCTTCTTCCCCGCGCCCCGTGCCCCCACATTCCTGGCCAAAAAAACAGGCTCGCTCGAAATATCACTGATGCCATCGCATGGATGCGACAGACGATGGGCAAGGCTTTTCCTGACATGAGCGCTCACCGATTGGCTAGCGGGGGGGGGGCCCAAACGGGGTCAGGGGATTTTGTCTCCGAGCGGCAGGGGGGGTCTCCCCGAAGACGCTCGCCAGCGGTCGCCCGAGGAGGAGGGGGGCAAAGTTCATCATCTAATTCATGGTCATAGAGCCTGCTGCGTGGCTCTTAATATCTAACTTCTGAAATTCCAAATTGTATTTCACGGGCAGGCCTGCTTGAGGGGGGGCCTCCTGGCCCCCTGGATCCCCCCCCCCCCCCTCCCAGCTCCCCCGACTTCGTGGGAGCACTGCCCGTGCTGCTGCAGGTTGCATCGTACTAAGTATTAGGGTGCAGCCAGCCGTGGCCGCACGCTGGGCGAGATCCTCCGAGGCCCCGTGGAGTTTCAAGCCATCGAATTGAAATAAAGGTTGGGACAGCTCAGGCTGAACAGGCAAGCGCGGCTGCTCATTCACTGCCCCCTGGTAGCTCTTGCTCATGATGTTCTGGCTTCGACTTCCAGTTGGCTTCGCCGATATCGTCGCTCTTGACGTCCTGCTCGGAATGGTCCAGAGCTCGTCGACTCTGTCGGGGCCCTTGATCTGTTCCGTCTGAGTCGGCATACTAGGCTGCATTGCCACCAGGAGCGCAGGGTCCAGGGGGGCGATCTCCATCTGACTGGCTCTCTGCGTCGAGACGGGCTGGGATAGCGGCGTCCCCATCGAATCCCCCCACATCTGTGTGGGCCCCAGTGGGCCGCCTCTGGCGTACGAATCCGCCTTGGCCACAGACTCCTGGCTGGATATGATGATGGTCTCCTCCTGGGCTACCATGGGCCCGATCTTCACGTCTGTCAGAGCCCCCGGCGTGCATGGGATAGCCTGGTGCTTCGTCTTGGGCTTTTCCTCCTTGAGCGGGGTGCCCTCCCGCTTCGGCGTAGGGCTGATGCTGGGATGTGGCCGATGTGGGAGTTGCTGCTGGGCTGGAGCTGCGGCGGATGTGAGCAACAACATCTGCTCGGAGCCCTTGCCACCTCCCTTGGCCAAACCCCTGGTGCCCTTGCTGGATCATGTAAGCCATCATCTGCTGCATCACCTCGGGGCTCATGTGCTGCTGGAGCGTGGGAAAATTCGCATGCTCCTGCCGTTGAGGCGGCGGCGGGCTCCCAGGGAACACCGGTGCCATCTGGGGCGGCCGAGGCGGCGCTGGCGGCGGGGGGGGCGCAACCCCCGCGGCCACTGCCTCGGCTGCCCTCGCCGCGGCCTCCTCCTGGGCTTCCTTGTCCAGTTCCTGGAGTGTGGTGTTTATCTGGTCCTGGCGCGTGATCTGCACATCCCTCTGGGCGTTCAGCTGCTCGATCTTGGTCTCGATCCGCTCGGTATCCTGCTTGCTCTCCTCGAGCTCGATCCGAAGCTGGGCCGCACGGGTGGCCGCAGGCTGCACGGAGGCGATGCTGTACTTGACCATGGTCAACTCTTCTAAGGTGTCCTCGTCCTCGCTGCCACTCCTCCTCGTAGCAAAAACCAGGGTGGCAAGGATCTCGGCCCTCTGCGCCATGTCCTTCATGTAGGCCTCCATCTGCGCGGGCGTCGTGGGCGGGCGCAAGAAATTCTTGTGTTTCTCCGCGTTCTCCTTGTAGGCCTGCGGAGTCGTGTCGATCAGCTGGCGGACCTCGTTGCTGGTGATTGGGCCTCTGCGGCCTTTCTGCGGGCGCGACCTGTGCTCGATGCCTGCGTAGTTCTGCGGCGGGGGGCCCTGCTGCTGGCGTCTCGAACGCGGCGGGGTGCGTTGGCGATCCTGGCGGCGTCCACGACTCGCAGAGCGATGCCGCCACTTGTGCCCACACCAGCAGCGCCAGAATTGTGATGAATTGAAACGATTGCACCTCTCGCATTTCCACTCCTGCGATGACATGCGTCGGGGCCGAGGCTTGCCAGTCTGTTCTGGAGCGGGGCGCTCCGCTTGGGCCAAGAACAAGGAGATGCGGTAGAAAGGAAATGAAAAGATGCCGGAATTCTGGCCAATCTAAGGGCGAGGCCGTGGTGCCTACCTACCCTTATGGCCTCAGCTCACTGTCAAGCCACCTCAACAATGGCCACGGACTTGAGCCAAAATGGCTACGGACCTCGTCCTCCTCCTCCTCCTCCTCCTCCTCCTCCGCCTCCTCCTCCTCCTCCTGCGAAGGGCCACTCTTGCAGCCGAAGATGGGGCACTCGCCGCCCGCGGTGTTCAGGCTGGCCAGGGGAACCAAAAGGCACCGATGCCACCACTCCCCGGACCTCTCCCGGGGCGCGCTCCGACCAGGACTTCGAGGTGAATCCAGCGGTGGCGACGAGGGCCTCCCAGGAGGCCCAGAAAGGCGAAAATGCGAGGCGGGGACTTATCCATATCCACCGCCTGGGAACCGACGTCCTGGTGCCCCAGCGGGCGGTGGAGATGGATACATTTCGGCCCCTATGGGCCCGAATGCGTCCGTATCCACCGCCTGCCGAGGCTCCGAAAATCTGACCCTCCAGGCGGTGGTCATGTATGAACTCCCGCCTCGGAGACAACGAGGGTAAAGTGGAGGTGCCGGCACCATTTCCTCCTCCGATGGTCATGGCCGCGCGGCCGGCCTCCAGCAGAGCAAACAGAGCCGGCTCGCCGAGGAGCTCCTCGCGCTGCCGGCGCAGCTCTGCAAGGAGGCCGGCGCGGCCGGCGTCGGAGAGGCCGCGCGAGCTGCCCAGGGCCAGCTCGGGCGGCTCCGACGGGTAGCTGGGCCCCGCGAGGAGCTGCAACTCGCACCACAGGAACTGCTTTTCCTCGTCGCCGGCTGTCATGGGAGCCAGCCCCACTGTGATCCTCGTGCTGGTGCCTGAGGTCTCGACAGTAAGCTCATCCTCCGACCACATGGCCGCGAGCAGCTCAAGCTCACCGGCTAAACCCTCGTTGACACATGGGTCTGCCATCACTTTCCCCTGCTACATGCACTAGCGCTGCATCCCCAACCTGACTTCTCGAGCCACAACGGCTATACAAACAAGGGCGCCTAACTTCGTGCATCGCGCCCCGCCATGCATAACGCGCGATGATATTCGCGCCATCGCGCCCCCACGACGCCCCTTGGAGAAGTGCAGCCTCTCCAGCCCAGGCCGCAACGCGCGAAGCGCGATTATCTTCGCGCCCCTGGGGATGACCTAGGGAAACAGCTCAAAGACGGCGATGCACATGTGGCTCAGCAGGTTTCCAAGCGGAGGGCTCTTTGGGCCTCCATGGCAGGCCTGGTGGTGCGATGCACAGGGGGCCCAGTGCGGAGAGCGGTGGGTGCGTGTGCGGTGGGAGCGCGTGTGAGGGGGGGCAGGGCGGGTGGGTGCGGTGGTGCATTGGTTCGGCGGTGAGCCCAGGGGGGACGTGCGGGGGGGCAGGCCTTCTCAGACGGCGGCGGGGCTTCTCAGAACCCCTCGCACTCGCGCCTTCTGAGAAGCCTTCCGAGCCTTCTCCGAAGAAACAGATGGCTTCCCAGAAGGCCACAATGGAGGGAGCGACCGTATCAACAACTGTGGCGTTTAGTTCCGTCGCCTTCCGCCGAGGAAAAGATGGAAACTCCTCCGATCCTCCTAGGCGAGGGCCTTTCTGGAGTGCGTCATATCCAATGTGACTGTATTACTCTCTCTATACGATATTTATATATATATATATATATAAACACACCGCCATGTCCATACACATATAGCAGCCACCGTGCCTCTGGGCACGGAGTGGGCGTGCCCTCAGGTCTTTTCCCTAATCCTCTAAGCTTCAATCCTCACTCCTAAGGAGCCTTACTGGCCCAGAGCCCAGATTGCCAAATCTCCTGGGGTTTGTCGCGTGCCTCGTAGGGCTTCTCGCGGCTTTTCGAGAGACTTTGTCGGAGGCAAGGGGGCCCCCAGCCGCCTAGCGATCGCTACAAGACGCTCAAGATGGCCCCCTGACGGCCGAGGCCTCTGAGACGACTTTAAGAGGCCCCCAAGACGGCCCAAGAGGCCTCCAAGACGCCCAAGATGGCCTCCAAGACGGCTAAGATGGCCTCCAAGATGCCTCAAAGACGGCCAAGATGCCTCCAAGACTGCCAAGAAGCCCTCCAAGACGGCGAAGATGGCCCCAAGATGCACCCAAGACGGCCCCAAATGGCCTGAAGATAACCTTAGACTGCCCAGAAGGCCCGCCAGAGGCCTCCAAAACGGCCCAAAAGTCCTCCAAGACGTCCTCCAGGAAACCCGAAAGCTCGGAAACCACCTGGTCCGATAGCTTGCCCGACTCCGTGTTCCCCGAAAGCTTTCGAAACCCACTCGGGGAACGCGTGGCCTGATAGCTTGGCCAAGCTCAAACCCAACTTTCAGCCACGCCGGCGCTTCCAAAAAGACAGGGGGCGGCGGTGATTCGCCGTAGGCGTCTTCGATACTGCCCCGATGCGCGCGGAAAACCCTCCCGCAACGCATTTAATTACAACCACAGAACGGCTGGTTCGAACAGAAGGCGTACAGCAAATCATAACAGAGCGTATCCTGCGAGAGGTGCCGCGGGAGTAAGGCGGCCGAGCGGCGATGGCTTGGCTGGGCGCGCCCTGCTCGCCTGCACGTCGTCGAACGAGAGGCAGTCCTGCCGCAGGGCGAAGCGGCGTGGAGGGGGCAGATCCAGGTGCCGGGAAGGCAAGCAACACTCACGCATCACACACGAGTGACGATCCGAAACGGGTCTTACGCGAGATGGCATAGCGACCTCACGCGGTGGCTTGCGCAGGCCGCCAGCGCGGAACGCTTCAGTGGCAACGAGGGCGCTTATACGCGCGACCTATTTCGCGGGCGGCTTACTGTACGCGCGCACGTCGGCGCAAGCGAAGCCATGTTTCTGCGTCGCTCATATGGTTTGACCCCCTCTCCCCCCGAATGCAATGCTGGTGTCGGATCTTCCGTGTCTGAGTGTCCGAGCGGCAGTGCGTCAACATGCCAACTCTGAACTGCGGGTAGAGGGGGTGGGCGTTGCTTCATTGTTCCCTCCGTCATGCGGCAAGTTCGTGCCGAGACGACGTGGGCGTCGGCTTCTGCCACCGCGTGGGTCGCTCCGCCTTTGACCGATCGCGGCTTCTCGACAGCGCGGACCAGTGGATGCCAGCCGGTTCCATCCCACTGGAGGCGTTCAACCTTGATTTCGGCGACGAGCAAGTGGGGGGGAAGTGGCAAGGAGAGGGCCTTCTCAGAAGGCGGCGGGGCTGCTCAGAAAATGCCCCAGAAGGCGGGGGGACTTCCGAGCCTTCTGAGAAGGCCCGCCCCTTCTCACTTCCCCCCCCCAGCTCACCGCCGATGAAGGCCCGCGCTAGGGTCGGCGCATGTCGGCGCCGCGTCGACGCGGCGCGAACCTACCGTATGGGCCAGGGGCTGCGAGGGCGGAATGGATACGGCACGCGCGTAGCAGGCAGTGTTCTGCCCTGCACCTGGGCAAGACAAGCGCACGATACGTCCACAATGTGTGGCGGATCAGCAAGGACAGGTCATCAGTAAAACACAACAGGCAGACTGGCTCCTGTATCTTTGAAATCCAAAGGGGGCGCGCAGAGGGGCACAACACAAGAACGCGAGCAATCGCACGGAGTTCGCACCGAATACGAACTGCAGAGTATCTGTGTCGATGGGGCTGTAAGTGTCAAAGTCAGGCTTGGAAGAAAGTACAGCTAGATGGAAGCACTGTGGAGCGAGTAAGCCAGAGCAGTGTGGAAGCAGCTTCACACCGAACCCGATGGTATTATAATTCGCGTGCGCATGGAGTCTAAGCAGAACGCCCTTCGGCTGAAAATGACGTCAGCACGGCAGCTACAGATCCGTGTCATTACGACACGCTCGGAACGTCTGAAGGCGATGGAATTACCACAACGGCGAAGCTTCAGGAATGACAACCGACAAGGAGAGACCATGAACACCTGTCTAAAATTTCGAACACGGAATACAACGTCAACATGATAAGGGTATTGGCGCCACGCACGGAAGGTTACTGGCCAACCAGTGCTGATATCCGGGCACCCGTCAAGGCACGACACGAACACAGCATACCAAACGCCAACAACTCCTGATCCGACCTCGTGGCCAACCACACGGCGCCATGGCACGCAGAACCGCACGGCACAGCAAGGGGGTGACACCTCAGATCCAGTGGAGCACAGCGCCTCACTGCACCGCGCGCAGTACCAACGTAACCCACTCCACATCGAGAAAGCGACTCCAACCTCGCGAGCGCCACACACAAAGCACGTGGCACACACCCGACCGCCGCCCGACCGCACAACGCGGCTCGGCACCAATCGCCTGAGTGTACACTCGTTCCCGCCCCCCCCACACGGCTTCCCCTGTCACGGCATGGCATAGCACTGGCTGGGCGAATCCGAGCCCCGGCATGGCAGCACGCGGCACAGCATGGGCAACCGCCTACAGGCCACCCGCACGGCATCACGCTGCATTGGCATGGCACCATCCTCCGCAACCAGTAGCAAGGAACGCGACCACGTACCCACCGGCACGCATCTAAGTTGCACGGGACAGCCGAATCCGACCTCGCGACCGGCCCGCGTGGCAACTTTCCCAGCCGCGCGACTTGGCACCACCCTTCGCACCCCAACCCGCTGAGCGGTGGTCACATCAGAAGCAAAGGCGCTTGCAACTACCAGTGCTCGAACTTCACGGACTGCACGGCACCACATGGGACCAGGCCAACAAATCGGATGCCGTGGCACCACGTATGGCGCAGCACTGCAGTGCAGCGTTGCATAGGGCGTCACACGGCACCACTGCTGACACCGTAGGCCCCCCTGTGGGGTAGCACACATGCCATCGGACCACCAAACTGGACAACCGCACACGTCACTGCACCACACTACGCAAATGCACTGCGCAAGCTCCAAAACCAGGCTATGCAACTGCTCTGCACAAGCCGCAAAACCACCCAACACGGCACGACAACAAGTACTTCACGCAGCACCACTCCGCGCTCTCTGGACTGCCACGGTTCACTTCTTACCTTCAACGCGCCAAATCCCAACGCGCCTTGGCACGCTCGCGGCCTGGCAAAACACACGGCACGACACGGCACGCGACACGGCACACGCACGGCACGGCACGGCCGCAAGCCGCGGCACAACACACGGCACTGCACACGCCACACGCACGCGCACGGCACAAAGCAACGACACGGATGGCACGGCATATGCCACATATGGCGTTGGTGCGGGATGTGCGTGCGTGTGCACGACGCAAGGACACAGCACGGCACAACACCACGGGACAACATAATGGCACGGCGGCGCGACACAACAACGGCACGGCACGGCAAAACACGTGCCCAACAAAATCACGGTTCGGGTGACTCACACGGCACGGTACCACACGGCACGACACCACGGCATGGACTGACACGACACCGCGACACGGCATGAAACGACGGAATGGCACCTCGTTGTGTCTGTCCAATCAAATCACCTGTGCAACCACAGTAATTACTCCCTGCGGGGGTCAATACAACACTCCAAACTGGAGTCGACGAGCTAACCCATGCAAAAGCCAATACAACACGGCACTCCCTGCGGGAGTCGATACAAGACCCCCTCCGCGTGTCAATGCACTGATGTCCTCCCTGCGGGACTGAACGCAACTAAATCACGGCTCATGCCCATGCACGGCCCATGCCCAACCATATCACGCTTTGGGGACTCACACAGCAAAGCAGGGTACGGCACCGCATCAGGGCAGGACGGGAATCGAATAAGAGGCCCAAAGCAATACGTCCAAAGAAGGACACACCACCAGTGTCAAGAGCGAAAGCGCAACGTCAGAACACAACAGCAAAACGCGGCACGGCACGGCACCGCGGCACTGCACCGCACGGCACCGCCACGCCAAATTGCCAAAACGCGACACACCTCAGGCCGCCAAGCCCCTTCCGCGAC